GGCAGCAGGATGAGGTGGAGGATGAGGGGGAGGTGGTGGATGGGGATGGGGATGGAGGTGTAGCTGGAAGATGAGGTGGAGGTGGAGGTGGAGGAGGATGTGCAGCAAGATTAGGTGGAGGATGAGGATGAGGAGGAGGGGTAGGAGACAGGAGTCGAAGAAGAAGACTTTCTGCATAAGAACCACATAAGCACAAGCTTCCGGAGGTCAGGGCGGATTTCTTTGGGTCGGCGCTGGCCCCACTTGACGTCGTTGGCCCTTGGCGCGTGGGGATCCAGCGCCGACCCGAGAAATCCGCGCGGACCTCCGAAAGTTTGAGCTTGTGCCGGCGCTCCTCCATCTACGCAGGGAGGAACGGGGAGGAAGGCGACGGGGGGAAAGAGAGGGGAGGGGGATGACGGGGAGGAGAGGAGCCCCGATAGTTTCTCCCCGACCCGCTAGAGCGTCCTGGCATCCGCCCCCACCCCCCAGGGAAAAGTAGTTCCTCCACCCCCAGCTACGTCTGGCAGGCGTAGATCGGCTGGGATCGTGGCGTCGGGTGGCATGCAGAGGGCGGCAAACTCCGATCTAGGCGAAGCGACAGCACACAAAAGGACCTCAGCGCGCAGCGGCGAGAAGATTTGCAAGGCGACTGTGAAAGGTAGGGTAGCCCGAGAGGGCGGAAAGAGTGCGTGCAGAGATCCGCGAGGGGGTACTGGAGGTGAAAATGATCCGCAGGACGACGTAAGAAAGTCTGACAAAAAACCCTCCACCCAACCTCTTCCTCCTCCTCCTCCTCCTCCTCCTCCTCCTCCTCCTGTTCTTCCTCCTCCTCCTGTTCCTCCTCCTCCTATTCCTCCTCCTCCTCTTCCTCCTCCTCCTCCTCATCCTCGTCCTCATCCTCACAGTCATCATCGCTTCGGGGGGGGGGAAGGTAAGCCAGGAGAGCAGAAGCAGGTGACTGGAGAGGCAGGATTGGTTAGGACGGGCTGCTGCGATTGTCTCAGTCAGAACCGCGACTCTTGCTGCCTCGCACTCGAGGGCCGAAGGACTCGTCATCTCTTCCTCGGCGGAAGGGCGGCGGAAGCCCGCGGAAGTCGAACGAGCCCGCTTCAGCCGGCGGAAGCCGGCGGGAGCCCCATCCGCTCGTGCTGCGCGCGCACCCGTCGTGGGCCCATCGTTCGCGATATAGGATCTCGAATGCGCCGATATCGGTAGTTTTTCTTCTAGGCCCCTCACGAAGCGTCCTTTCCTGAAGGCTCCTGGGCGCAGTGGTTTGAAAAAAGGGAGTCAAAAATGCGTCCCTCAGGGATGACAACATGTTTGAGTTCGGGGCTTCCAGAACCAGCCTTCGGTCGGTGCCATCAGGTGTCACCCGAGGTTGGGCCAGGCATTTGTTGACATTCGGCCAACTTCGGGCATCGATCGAGGAGTGGTGGCGTCCCCCTCCGTCTCCTCATCCTGCTCCTCTCCAGCCTCCCTCCGCCCCCATCGCCATCTCCGCATGAGCGCACGAAGGACGTGGAGAACCCGGAAACGCTGGCGCTGGGCACAGAGGTGCAGTTCTACGTTTGGGCCTCAGTGTTTCCGCAGCAGCGCTTCCGAAGCAGCTGGTCGCATCATTCCAGAATCCATGCAATGCGTATCGTGCGGTATATATTGACGGTTATGATGGCAGGAGCAGGTATCGCATATTCGTTAGAACGCGCCGATGTTTGCGGCTAACGTGGTCACAGGAAAGCTTGTTGTTCCAGCACGCGTGCACCATGTGTGTGAGAGGCGCAAGCAGCGTTCCAAGTAGAGATAGCAATGTAGCTGTTTGCATGCCACAGATGCAAGACTGGCAAGCAGCCATCGAGTGCCAATGCGACTGTGATATTGCTCCGTATGGTGATGGGCATGGAAGTGGTCCATCCTCGTCTGATACTTATGAGCATGTCTGTGTCCGTGGGTGTCGCCTAGACCCAGATCAGAAAGTTGATTATATCCGCATCCATTGTTTTATGACCCTATCCTACCGCACACCGTGTTCTCTGACGGCTTGACTTTGATGCTCATACATGCAGTCATATACATGTACGCTTGTGTCACCTTCACACCGCTGCCAGCCCTAGCTGGAGTAACGCCCACAACGCGAGGAAAGGTGTGCTTGCGTGCATGTGTGCTTTAGGGCCACCCGTCTGGGGGTCTCCGTGCCGCCTCTCCTGGCGCCCCTGCCAACGCCCCCGGCGCCCTCCGCCCCTCCCGGGTTGTTGTCTAGTCTCGCGCCTTGGCGTTGCTCTTCTGAGCACGGGCAGCGCCGCAGCGCATCCAACGGGCCTCAGGCTGGCACTCTCCGTGCTGACACGGTTGGCTGCAATCCGTCTCAGGAGGCTAGGCCAGTGGCCTACCCTCCTTTCTGCTCTTCATCGTGCTGGCCTGGACCTTTGGTGTCTGAATTGGCGCGCCTTTGCAGCTGTGCCGCCCTGGCTCCTTGACCCGCACGCCGTACGCCGCTGGCGGCGTCTCGGCTGGCGCGCTC